CCTCCTGCACATCCCCCACTGGGATGTGCCCGCAACCCAGGTACATGCCCTTGACCGGAATCGAACCTGGGACCTTTCAGTCCGCAGGCCGACGCTCTATCCACTGAGCCAAGCTCTCCTTGCACTCCCAGGGGAAGGGCTGGACAGATTTGTCTCTGGTTCCGGAGAGCCTTCATTTTTGTCATCCGTTATCCAGTCTCTCACCACCGATAGCAGAAACTGTTTATACTTCATTTTTGCTTGAGGATTGAGGACGTTGTACACTCTAAATGAATTGAAAAGTCCACAGTTTATAAGGTACAGCACTACTTTTTTTGTCCATTTCATCGTTTTTCTTAGAATGGAACAACACGAAAGAAAGTGTATCAGTTTCGTTGGTTTCCTTCCTTTTTCTGAAAGAAAGCATTATTAAAAGTGCCAGGAACTTGAAGACGAAGACTATTCGAATGACCAAAATACAATGTAACTGCAATGCTTTATGGGTTTGTGTAATTATATAGTTTTTCGTAGATTGACATGCACGGTTTCCACCAATGAGATCGCTTCATTCGATGTGGACAAGACAGTGTATTGACATCTAAGGTCCATAACAGATGGCGCGTGAAACACGAGAAAGCTCGTGAGCGGTACGAAAGGTGTTAAAAAATCATTTTTTCTTTTCCACTGGTTTTGAGAAACTTGATTGTGACATGATTTGGAGTCGTTTTTTTTATTTCTTGTGTTGGGTTCATTGACTGTGTTGGATCTGTAGGTTTATTCTATTCTTCAGATTTGATAATTGTTCAGCCACTATTTCTTCAAATACATTTTCTGTCTCTTCCTTTATATGGGGACTCATATTACACATAAATTAGGCTGCTTAAAGTTGTTGCATGCCTCACTGATGCTTTTTTCCCTAATTTACTGTTTTATTGATTTTAGAAAGAAAAGGAGAGGGAGAGATAGAAACATCAACCATGAAAGAGAATCATTGATTGGCTGGCTCCTGCATGGCCCCCACTGGGGTTCAAGCCTGCAACGTGCTCATATGCCCTGACCTGGAATCAAACCATAACCTCCTGCCTCATAGGTCAACGCTCAACCACTGAGCCACTCTGGCCAGGCTGATGCTTTCTTCTTTATTTATTTTTTCATTTGTTCTGTTTCATTTTGTGTAATTTCTATTGCAGTCTTCAATTAACCAGTATTGTCTTTTGCAATGTTTAATCTGTCATTAATACTATCCAGTGTTTTTCATCACAGATATTCTAGTCTTTAACTCTAGAAGTTCAATTTGGGTCCTTTTAAAATATATTTTTCCTGGTTTTTACTTATTTACTTAATCTTTCTACTAGTTTTTAATCCAACAAAACCAGTTATAATATCTGTTTAAATATCCTTGTCTGCTACTTCTAACATCTCTGTGAGTTCTGGGTCAGTTTTTTATTATTTTTCTCGTTATAACAGGCCATACTGTCCTGCTTCTAAGCATGCCTGGTGATTTAAAAAAAATTAATGTGACTCATTGTAAACTTACCTTATTGGGTATTGGACATTTTAGTTTTCCTATAAATATTCATGAGTTTTCCCTGGAACACAGTTAAAGTTACTTGAAAATAATTTGATCCTTTGGGCCTTGCTTTTAAAATTAGTTGGACAGGAACAGAAAAACATTCAGCCTACCATTAATTTTGGTCCCCAACCCACCCATCTACCTAACGTCCTATGAATTATGAGGTTTTAAGACTGGTTGGTGGGAACAGGTATAATTCTTGGCCCTGTGTGAGTTCTGGCTATTGTTCTTTCAGGTTTGGGGGTTTTCCTCACCTGGAACCATTTCCTCACACACATGGAATATTCAGTACTCCACCCTGTAAACTCTAGCTATGCTGGTCTCTCTGGTCTCTCAGTGCTATCTTCTCAACTCAGAAAGTCCATCAACTCTTCCTGGGGTTTTTTTCCTCTGCCACTGGCTGGAAATTCTCTCAAGGAAATAAATAGGGGCAATAATAGAGCTTATTCCATGTCTCCACTGTCTCTCAGGGACAGTGTTCTTTATTGCCTGCTGTTCAATAGTTTGAGAACCATTATTTCATATATTTTGTGTAGTGTTTTAGTTATTTCAGAGAAGAGAGTAATTCTGGCCTCGTTTACTCCATCTTTGCCAGAGCAGAAATCCCTCCACTGGATTTTAAATATTTAACATTTCTTCCCCTTTGGTTTGCCGATGGACCCCCAAATTGTGCCAGCCTCCCTAAGTAGAGCTGGCTAGTGCTAGTTAATGTCCAAACAAATTATACTACAGATGGACAAATATCTCGATTCTTAATCACTATCCCATGGAGTGATAGAGAAGGAGAGAGAAGGAGGAAGTAGCCAAAACATTTCCACTGTCCGCAAAATGTAGGGTACAATCTCTACCTGCACAATCTGCAGACTAGCGGGTAGGTTACAAATTTCATCCTCTAACTGGCTAATTGACTACACGGAGCAAACCTCTGCTCCAGGTTCATAGACCTTACCTTAGGCAACATGCAGACACATGACAGGAGGGTAAGTACTAGTAATTAAGAGACTGGCTGCTCCACTAGAGGAGAAAGCTCAGAGCACATACATGAGGAAGGTCAAATCTTCATACACCAAGGAAAGTGCATGTGAGGTGGTAGTGCAATGGTAGACCACAAATGGTGATCCCTGAAAACTTGATGCTAATGGGGGTTGCACTAAAAAGAAAAAAAATCTCCTCTTGGAAATTTACAAGTGCATACTAACATGTTGAGCAACCATGAAAAATGTGCCTCTCAGATGCCTATTCTGGAGGGCATAATTGACCAACATCTCCAACTTCTTTATTTTAAAATCCGTCACTGTTTAAAACTGAGACTAGATTCCCAAAGGTTTCTTCCAGCCAATGACTGAATATGGCAGGTCCACTAAAGCAGGCCTACATATGCAAGATGTAGGACATTGGCTTGATAACTCTGTTGGCATTGACTCCCTATTGGCATTGAACTTTCTTAGAACTACACTCTAATGTAAAACTTTACTTTCTTCTTCCCTTCTCCCCCTTCTTCCCCCTTCCCCTTCTCCTTATCAATGGTCAGAACTACTACTCAGTCTGATGGCTCTCCCAGCCTCCTCTGGCTCCTTCCCTATTTTCTCCTCACAGGTGTTCCTCCAATAACTCTCTTCCACCTCAAGTCCAGGTTGGTGTCTGCTTCTTAGAGGACCAGACTAACCCACATATTGAAGACTCAGAGAAGTCCTACAGGTAAGAAATTTGTTTAATTTTAAACTCAACATTTCTCACCCAGTTTACTAAATAACACGCCTTCTTTTTGTGGAATACTCATTAGAAGTTGGGGGAACTCGGTTTGAGAAATGCCACTGAATTAGAAGGAAAACTGAAACAACAATCAGAAAATTTGTGTTCTGGTTCTTGAAACTCTGTTCATAAAAATACCTAATATGTGTATAACATTTCTATCACAGGCATAATTCTGAAATGGCCCTTAAAATCCCAGGTCCTTGGTGTACACACACCTTCTCCTGGTTTTACAATCAAGCACTAAGCTGGGTGTTGATGTGAAAGGATTTTGCAGATAAAGGGTGTCCCAAATTTCACTCAAGATTTGAATTTTATGCTATGTGTGCTGTCAAGTGTTGCCAATGAAAAAGAAGCGTGACAGGTGACAGTTCAGGGTTATTAAAAATGGAGGGCTACATGCAAGAACAACATGTTTTCATTGTTGAGCAATATTTTAAAAATAATGAAGGTTTGGCAGCTACAGTTTGCAATTTTCGTGCAAAATATGGTCGGAATAGTGATTGAACTTCATCAACTGTGAAAAGATTAATTAAAACATTTAGACAGACTGGATCAATCAGTGATCTTAAACACTCTGGCCGTCCTTCAACAAGTCGTTCAACACAAAACATCAAAGCAGTTCGTCAGAGTGTAGCTGAGAGTCCAGGGACATCAATTCGGCACTGTGGTCAAGAATTGGACATTTCGAGAAGCCATTTGCCCAATATGCTATTCCATACATAACCCTATACTGTATACTTCATGAATCAACAAAAAGATTACAATTTTTAGTTATAAACCTGTGTTTTCTATCAAAATTACTTCTTGGGTGAATTTTGGGACACCCTTTATAAGTAAGGTCCCACACCGGTTGACTTTAACATAGGGAGGTATTCCAGGTAGGCTTGATCTAATCTCATAGGCCCTTTAAAGCTGGGTCTAAAGGTCAGAGACAAGGAAGTCAGAGAGTTTTGAAGCATGAGGTGAATTCAACAAATGGACATGGCTGAGTTACAGTAAAACATTCCTTACAAAAATAAGCTTCAGAATGGATTTGACCTATGGGCCAAGCTTTGCCCACTCCAGCATTAACTACTCAGTAAACATGAAATACATGAACGAGTCAAATTTCCCTCTCACGCACAACCCAATCACCTTGGAAATGTAGAAAGGTGTCACTTTCGTGGACATCAAAATCATTAACCATCGTGTTAACCGGTTTACTTGGTTCTTGAGTTTGGATGGTGGCATAAGGAAGAAAAGGTGGCCCATTATCTGCAGAACCTGCTCTGTCACCTGTGCCTACGGAGATATACAAACTTGCATCAGCAATAGGATGAGGAAGACAAACCCTCAGGGGTTGTGCTTTATTCATCTTTGTATGACCAGGGCCTAGCATCATGCCTGGCAAATGAGACTAATCAATAAATGTAAGTTGCACATTTAACAAATAAGTGAATGGACAGTGCGGTGTTTTTTTACTCTATGTTTTTCTGGAGCATGGTAAGAGGAGCCTGAGGAGGAACACCTGCTCTCCCAGAAGACCCTCGTGAGTCAGCCTTCTACCAGCAAGTGGATACACTTGAGCCCACCTTTGGCTCAAGCCTTACTCCTTCAGCCCATCCACCCAACCCCTGTTATCTCCCACTCCCACCTTGTCCTTGCTCTTCAAAGTCCACCGGTTGAGGAAGACACGGAAGATGATGTAGGCCTTCATGGACATTTCCCTTTGACTAAAGCCCGTCACCTTATCATCCCAGGAATCCAGGTGTTTATGGGCACTGACGACCAATCCGTAGAATACTGTATGGAGGGAAGGGAGTTAGAGCTGCCCATCACCTTTCCCATCCCACCAAGTAAAGCATACACACCTATAAGTACAGTTCTCTCCTCCCCAACCCAAAAAAGGGCCTCCGGGGGTCCTGTTCTGGGAAAGACCCACCTGCCCACCACCTCCCCCAACTATCGTTCCTTTCTGACCACACCTAGTTCCAGGATAGGCAGGTGAAGTGAAAGAGAAAGCCTGTCAACACCTACAGCCTCCCTATCAAGCTTGCTCCTTGCCCCAAACCAGGCCAAGAAAGGTCAGATGGAGAAGAGCATCTACTCATACGTGGCCTGCTCTCAGCCATCATCTGCCCCTCCCATAGACTTATGGGGTCCAACTTCAGAAAGACCCAGTATCTTCCTGGCCTTCTTTCCTCCCTCCCTGATTCCAATTAAGCCCTTCCCCAGACCCTCCTGACCCTTACCATGACATATTGCCAACATGTCATTCTCCTCTTGGGCCAACTTCAGAAGAGGTTGGATATATCTCCATATAGAACCAATGTAGGAAACTGTATCTGGGAGGGAGAGTAAAAGAAAAACATCCCTATCCCAAGGAAAGGAGCCTCCCGCCTTAGTGTACAAAATCTTATGGTTAGAGACCAGTAGGTTTGGGTTCTGATCCTAGCTCTGCCTCCAAAGTGTCTGGGTAACCCAGAGTAAGATACTTAATTTATGCTAGTTTCCGTGTCCTCAGCTGTTAAATAGGACTACAGTTCCTAATGTGCCCACCTCACAGGGCTGTTGGGAAAATTAAGCTCCATAATGGATGCTAGCACAGCATGCAGATGCAAGGTACTGCCACACCCTACACATGCACACTCCCTTCCAAGGACCCTTATGGAGCAAAGAGCTGTGCTGCCTGAGGCTCTCTCACTCTTCTAAAGTGAGAACATTTGCCCTGATTAGATCAAGACACACATTTCCAGCTTCTGTGCTGTGTCCTCTGAGTTTGCTATGCAGCCCAACCCATAAGCCTTGTCATTTTGAACCTAATGCCCAGAAGGCCAGCTGACTTCCCCCAATATCTCTCTGGCCCAAAATCCAAGTGGCAAAGAAAGGGAAGAGTCTGGCATTTGCCTGATGACTTGATTTTTTCCTCAACACTTTTTGATTGAGGGAGGGGAATACAATGGGTAAGGGAACTAATGCTGTCACCAACAGCCACCAGGATGGAGATTGTATGGTGATTCTCTGCCTCATCCTACTACACTATTACCTTCCAAACCTCTAATCAAATTCAAAACCTCAAGTTCCCCTAAGCAAAACACTCCTCACTTCTCTTTTGCCCCTCCCCACCTCTGTTGAATGGGGGCTTTCTATTCAGCCTTCCCTCCAGTTCTCCTAGTCTTACCTCCAGCCCCACAGTTTCCTGTGCTTTTTAATATGCTCTCCTGTGCCACTCCTAGTCTCCAGGAACTCCCTCCTGAGTTCCCATGGGTCCCACAGGGATGCTAGTTTGCCCCCCTCATCTGTACACACACACCCATGACTAAACTAACTGGAGATATACTAGTACACTGGAAGGAGTCAGGAGAATAAAGCTATACTACAAATTCCATACAGCACCCCCAAGGCCCTTTGCCCTGTTCCTTTCTCAGACGAACTCTTCCACCACGGGGAGCAATACCTTGGGAAAGGATGATCTTCCCCACTGCAACCATGAGGCTCCTTGGGGGCAGACCGTGTAGATTTGGACTGCCCCATAGCTTGACAATGATCACTTCTGGAAAATGTGACCCCAGAGCCATAAGGACCGCAGTGAATTCCTTCTCCAATTCTCCCTTTGTCTCCTGGAAAAAGAAAGACTCACTGTTCCAAGGCTAATCTCCAAGATGAATCCCTCAGCTTCTGAGAATTGGCTTTGCTCAGTAAGTGGTTCTCCTCAATCTAGAATGTGGTAGCTATCCTATCTCATCCTACAACCCCATTCAACATACACCTTCCCCATGATAGAGGGCAACAGCTTCCTAGAGTGTGCAAGAGGGCAGGAAATGAAAAACTGCAAAGTCTCTGGGCTTGTGTTGGGGTGGGAATGGGGCTTGGCATTTCCAGAGCACAGAGCTTTCCCTGAAGCAACAAGTGAACTGTCATCACAGAGGTGGGTAGATTATGGAGGTAACTTTGAAAATTTCTTGAAGGATCAGGTCTTGATCAGTAAACAGGTGTGCCAAAGAAGGCAGGTAAACTGGAAGACACCTTGTATGTAGACAGTTAACCAAGAAAATCAGAAACCAGATTTACCCAGTACCAGGAAAATTAAGTATAAAAGTATCTGAATAGATGAATAGGTAGTGGTCATGAATGTTCAGTCCAAAGTTGGGCTAGCAGGCAAGTGGGTGGATTTAAATAGGTTAGTAAATAAATTGAGGTGATTAGCTGAGTTGCAACAGCAAAGGTGTGACTGCCTAAGATATCCCAGGAGGAGGATTAGGACAGCTTAGATTTTGAGGCCCAGAGCCTAAATCCTTTCCTCCTTTCCATCTCACTTCTTTCACCCTACCTCCTTACTTCATTACTTTAACTTTTAGGTCACAGTTCTTGAGACATGTTCAGGGTATAAGAAATAGGCTCTAGGAAATTGTTTAGAAACTTGAGGTACTCATCTCCCAAATACTACTTAATTACAAAATGTCATCACCCACCAGAAAGGGACTCCTGGCTTGAGATCTGGAATCCTTTCTTTCCCCACAGCCCCCAACCCAAAGGCATGAGCTCCTCACCATTCTCCTCAGGTACTTGATAAGGACACCTGTAATTTTCTGGCAGAATGTATTAGGCATCTTAGTATTTAGAATTTTGACTTCCAGTAATTTGAGGGTTTTTATGATATCATCTTCTGACATCTAGAGGAGAGAAGGGATTCAAGAAAGGAAGGAAGGTTGAAGGATGGAGGGTTAAAAGAAAGAAAGAGAATAATGATCCATGGTAGAGAAAGGAAGAGGAGGACTGAGTCTAGAGAGAAGACTAAAGCTGGACCCAGGTTTGGGGGGAAATAGGTGGAGAAGTTTATGAGTTAACCTAGGGACATGGGAACCTGACCTGTAGTTGTGAAGGGACTGAGCCGAGTAGTGCTCTGCTGACTGGAAATACTTGCCCCTCTCCTGACAGAATGGGTATGCACCCAACCAGCTACCTTTATGGAGGCGGTTCCACCCTGGAGCCAGTGCCAGGAAGATGTCTGAGATGTCCTCACCTGACCTCCAAATTTGAGTGCCAGCATAAATTTCTCGATGTCTTCTTTTGAGATATACTGGCTTAACTCCCCTTTAGAATTCTCTGAGGAAACTGCCATAGCTCTAAATATCTCTGTAAGGAAGAAAGAGGGTTAGTAGAGGGGAACTGTTTCTCTCTTGCTGGAATTGGGTATGTTTTTCTTCAAAAGTGGGTAACATAGTATGAAGAAATCATGCAAAAAATAATGAAAAACCACAAGAGACCAGTTTGGTTGCTGATTATGACTTTGCCCTTCACTAGCAATATGTTCTTTGGCAATTCATTAAATCCTGGAGACTCTATTCTTCATATGAGAACTTAGTATAATAAAAATCAATATGAGAATCATAAGAGATTGTATATGTGTTATTAGGTACCAACTTTTAGGATCTCAGCCTGCCCTTTGGATCAAATCTTTTTTTAAATTTAAATATATATTTTATTGAGTTCAGAGATGAAGGGAGAGGGAGAGAGAGCTAGAAACATCAATGATAAGAGAGAATCATTCAGCCCTAAGTGGTTTGGCTCAGTGGATAGAGCGTCGGCCTGCGGACTGAAGGGTCCCAGGTTAGACTCCTGTCAGTGGCATGTACCTTGGTTGTGGCACATACCCTGTTGGGAGTGTGCAGGAGGCAGCTGATTGATGTTTCTCTCTCATCGATGTTTCTAACTCTCTCTGTAAAAGGCAGGAACCCTCTGCCTTCCTCTCTGTAAAAAAGCAATAAAAAATATTTTTTAAAAAAAGAGAGAATTCTTCATCGGTTGCCTCCTGCACACCCCCTACTTGGAATTGAGCACAAAACCCAGGCATGTACCCTGACTGGGAATTGAACCAGTGACCTCTTGGTTCCTGGGTCAATGCTCAATACTTGAGCCACACCTGGCTGGTTTGGCTCAGTGGAAAGAGCATCGGCCTGCAGATCAATACAAATCTATTTAAAGAATTATAATCTCCCTGGCCAATTTGAGCATTGTCCCTCAAACCAAAGTATCTCAGCTTCGATTTCCAGTCAAGGCCAGATACCTCAGTTGCAGGTTCTTCCCTGGTCCTGGTCAGGGCACGTGTGGGAGGCAACCATCTATGTGTCTCTCTCACAACAATGTTTTTCTCTTTCCTTCCTTCCTTCCTTCCTTCCTTCCTTCCTTCCTTCCTTCCTTCCTTCCTTCTTTTCGTTCTTTCCTTCTTTCCTTCTTTCCTTCCTTTCTCCTTCCTTCCTTCCTTCCTTACTTCCTTCCTTCCTTCCTTCCTTTCTTCCCTTCTTTCTTTCTTCTTTCTTTCCTTCTTTCTTTATTTCTCTCTCTTCTCTTCTCTTCTCTTCTCTTCTCTTCTCTTCTCTCTCTCTCTCTCTCACTCTCTCTCTCTCTCTCCTCCCTCCCTTCCATTCTCTCTGAAAATCAATGGGAGCAGGGGAAAGAATTCATTACAAGTTCTATAAAAAAGAAACAACTGAAACCACACCAAGGTTCCATTTCTTCTCATATCAGATTGACACAATTTTTAAAGCATGCAATGCTGGGAAAACAAGCTCTGCCACACAGGTCTGGTGAGAACGCACACCAGCACGACCCCCTGGAGTGAAGTATCATAACATCTAGCATCACATTTTGTTCACTCTTCCCTCAGCAAACTCTCACTTCTAGAATTTACCCTGAAAAATCCCCCTCCATTAATATGAAACTATATTATGTCACTATAATGAGTAACTTTGTCCACATATCGTTTCATATTTGTAACAGCAAAATATTGAAAACAATGTAAATGCCTATGAGTTGGAGACTGGATGAATATATTACAGCATATTCCCCAGTGGGGTAAATTGCAACCAAAGTGTAAGTAAGATCTCTATGAAACAATGTGTAATTATGCTACCTTTAGAGTAATAAATAAAATAAGGATAAGTGTACATTTGTGTGCACATATATATTCTTATTAATGTGTATAGTTTTATTTAATAGGAGGGGAGGGGACCACAGAGAAATAAAACACATAAATGAAAATGAATACTATTGGGGTGTGTGAGGAGAGAAAGGAAGGGCTAAGGATGGGATTAAAACTCCTCTGGCTTTACCTTTCCATAAAGTTTTGACTTTTAAACCATGTAAATGCTGTACATATTCAAAAATAAACTAAATCCAGTTGGATCAAAAAATCAATACAACAGAAATAAATGAATCTAACTGCATACAAAACTGATTATATAGCAATGCAGAAAAAAATAATTCAAGTAACTTTAAACACACTGCTCTAACTGTACATCCTTACTGTGATATATTCTAAGGATAAAAATAGCTGCAAAGAAGCCCTGAAACCAACTTAATGAGTTTGTTATTGGTAGTGTTATTATGGTGGGAATGCTGCAACTATTGTGCATATTGTGCTAAATGTAGTGATGCTTTTCAGGAAACAGGATTCTTGCCGTGGAAAATGCGAGATGTAAATGTGTAATGGGAGCCTTACGATGTTCCAATTTTAATTGGAAGTGTGAATAAAAATTCATCACTCATAGTTATCTCTGTTCACTGAAAAAGCCTAGAAGCAATGACACTCCAGTAGCAAAAGCACATCTACTACCCAAATGCTACTTTCCACATACCGTTCATACAACACTCTTTAAAAAGAAAGGACTCCTTGGAGAAGTAGCTGACTACTGGTTGGGAGTAGGAAAAGTGCAATCTGAGCATCTTTTTATGCCAGAACTAAGGAAGTGCTCAAAAACTAATGGGTATACATTAAAAGGACAGAAGTTTCCGATTAAAGGGTTCTCCCATTGGCGAAATGAGAAACAATTTGAACATCAAAAAAAATAATGATGGGAATAGATTAAAGCGCACTGAGTAAAATACCAACTCATGGCCCTAACCGGTTTGGCTCAGTGGATAGAGCTTTTGATTCCGGTCAAGGTCATGTACCTTGTTTGCAGGCACATCCCCAGTAGGGGGTATGCAGGAGACAGCTGATTGATGTTTTTCTCTCTCATTGATATTTCTAACGCTCTATCCCTCTCCGTTCCTCTCTGTAAAAAATCAATAAAATATATTAAAAGAAATACCAACCCATGAGTCCAAATTGGAACAAAAAATGCACGATGGCTGGAAGAGGGGATTCCACTCCAAACTATGCCGGCTAATAACTATAGAAGAAATGACAGAATTGCAATTGCAGATGAAATAGTTGATGCAGAGAAGCATCATCAATGAAACAAGAGATACACATGGCCTCAAGGTACACCATTCATATTACTTACAAATTGCAAAAGGACAAAAGGTACTTTACAATGGGAAGACCTGATGGAAACCATCTTCACGAAGTGATCAAACTAAGCATCACCAATAATGGAAGTAGCTGATATCATGTGCCTTCTGATGATGCAAAAGAAAATATATGACATCACCCATGTAGCATTTTGGCTTAATACATTTAACCTGAATCTCTAAAGAGGAAAGAATCACTGAAATCCAGGTTGTGGGACAGTCTACAAGGCAACTAAAGATACAAATTATTGGTGAAATGTTTTGCTAAAAGGAGAATGCGATCCATTATCTTCGTTGGAACTTATGTGGGGGAAACACAGCTATAAAGAAAATTTTGAGGAGATTTGGGAAATTTGACCATAGGCTATATTCTACTGACAATGTTATTGTATCAGTAAGTTCCTGGAGTATAATAATTTTATTAGAATTTGCTTTATTCAAAGGGGATGCATGCCAGAATACTAATAGTATCATAATATAAATCTGAGTTTACTCCAAAATGATTCAGACCTGTGTGTGTGAGAGAGAGAGAGAGGGAGAGAGAGAGGGAGGGAGAGAGAGAGACTGGAAAAGAAACAGAGAACACTAATATGGCAAAATACTTTAGCAATTTGGTGAATGTAAGTCGAAGAATAATAGGTGCTCATTGTACTGTTCTTTCAACTTCTCTATAGGTTTGGCATTTTCTCAAATCAAAAGTTGGGAGAGAAATTAAAATCCACTAGTCATCAAAAGACATCAACAGGTGAGTAAAAACTGGTAAACTACAACATGAAAAAAGGGCACTATAACCATAAAATCAACAAAGGGTTCACATCCAAAATATATAACACTTTCCTGCATATCAAGGAAAAAGACAAATAGAAAAATTGGATAAGAGACTTGTGAGGAATTCATAAAAGAGGATATACTAATGGTCCATAAACACTTAAAAAGTGTGACTCAACCTCACTAGGGATTAGGGAATTGCAAATGAGAGCCACAAAAATGTATCCTACACACTCACCAGAATGGCTGAAATTTAAAAGGTTTACAATGACAAATGTGGCAAGGATGTGGAACAATAGAAATTTTCTTATACTACTAGTGGGAGTGTAAAACAAAACAGCCACTCTGGAAAACAATTTGGTATTATCTACTTTATGATCCTTTCCTAGCAATGCCCCTACCAAAAATGCATGTTCACTTACAGCAGCAGACACACATGACTGTTCATAGTGCTATTATCATAATAGCCACAAACTGTGAGTCAAATTTTCATCATCATCATAACAGATAAATAAGTTGTGATATATCTATATATCATTCATCTGATGGAATCGTCTACAGCAATGAAAATGAACAAATGAATCTTATGCAATAATATGTATAAATCTAACAAATGTAAAATGAGTGAAAAAAAACCATACACAAAATAACACAAACTTCATTACTGCATCTATAAAAAGCTCACAGCAGGCTTATATAGACTACTGTGTTTAGGGATGTAAACTTAGGTAGTAAAACTTTCAAGAAAGGCAAGGGAGTGATTTTTATAAAGTTCTCATGGGCTATGCTGGGAGGGAATTGTGACTAGGAAGGATCACAATAGGGAATTCCAGGGTTCTGGTGATGTCAATTTTTTACCTAGATCAGGGGTCCTCAAACTTTTTAAACATGGGGCCAGTTCACTGTCCCTAGACCGTTGGAGGGCCGAACTATAGTTTAAAAAAAACTATGGACAAATTCCTATGCACACAGCGACGGCAAAAACACCCGGTGGACCGAATAAATGTTTTTGGCGGGCCGCATGTGGCCCGGGGGCCGTAGTTTGAGGACCCCTGACCT